GCGGCATGTGGGATCTTCCCGGACCGGGGCACGAACCCGTGTCCCCTGCATCGGCAGGCGGACTCTCAACCACTGTGCCACCAGGGAAACCTGCTAATTAGGATCTTAATTTTCAAATGGGGGAATGGAATTTTAGGCAATAAAGTAACAAGTATAAGAATACAGAATATTCTGAAGAATATTCTGAAATCATTGCAGGTATTTGTTAACTATTGAAATATAACGTTATAACATCCCCAGGTCTATTGTTGGGTGCCAAGTGGTGCTTTTAACACACCATCAGACAAAACGTGTTGCCCTTGTGGGAAGCCCTATGCAAATAGCTCTGAGTTGTCTGGTAGACTTCCTTGAGCTCTTCAGGGATTTACCTGCTGATACCTGATGGCTTTGAGTTCAGGTGCCCGATACTTAACTTCCCCTTTTTATGACATGTTTGCTTGACTTTTTCTTCATGACCACCAGCTGACACCTCCTCACTCTGCCTCTCTCTTTGTGGCCCAGACTGTGGCTTGCTTTTACGTGTCTGTGACCCTGGGCTTTTACCTTTCCAGTTCCCATCAGCTCTTCCATCCCTTCAGGCAGCTGGCTGCCTTTGCTAGGGTACCTCCAGCCCCACCACCTCAGAAAACAGACTGTCTCATCCATTGCTGGTTACTCCAGGTATTACAAATGTCTTTCTCTTATTGAACTGAAATTTGTCCCTTTATGATTTCCTCATACTGATTTTCTTCCTACCCTCTTAGAAAATGATGTGCATTCAAAGGAACTGTCAGGCCAGGAGAGAGAGAGGTGGTGTCTGTCTCAAGGGGGTGATCCATAAAACTCCTGAAAGAGGACACTTTTCTGAGGAGAGCATGAAAACAGTGTCATGTGAGCTATTCACTGAACTTGGGGAAATGCCCAGAGTTTGTTGAAAAGAGAAGGAAGAAGAGAGACTTCTTTCTTTTTTTTTAATTTTTAAAAATTTATTTTATTGGAGTATAGTTGATACGGAGTATCGTTGATTTACAGTGTTGTGTTAATTTCTGTTGTACAGTGAAGTGATTCAGTTATATATACGTTCTTTTTCATATTATTTT